TAAGTAATTTTTTAAAAGCATCAGTAAGTAGTTCTGACCCAGGTCTAAGACTTTCTGAATACAAGTGAAAGTTGGCTAAGTTAAAGTGCATCAAATAGTCTCACTCCTTCACCAAACATTTATTTAGTGTCTCTTAAATGCCACACACTGTGATAGAAATGGTGTTTAAAAACAGACTTAGGTGGTAAGCAACTTTATTGCTTAATTGTAACACTTAAAGTTGCTTTATTTTGTCTTTGTTTGAATGATGCTGTAAACTATTTAGAAAAATATAACTTGTGGGCTGAGAATGTAGCTCAGTGATAGAGTAGTTGCCCAGCATGTGCAAGGTCTTGGGTTCAATTCCAATGAGAAGAAACTATAATTTATTACATAAGATCTTATAATACTGTATTCCTTAAGAGAGGAGACAAGTAATGTCTATAACATAAAACATTCTTCTTAGTGTGAATATATAACTCAAATTATTTCAACAATGGCCTGTGTCCTACTCCAGAGTCCAGAGTCCATCACTCTTGTGGCACTCTTAACAATGTTCGTATTCTAAATGAAGACTCCAAGATTTAACTCAACATATACAGGATGGTTAATTTCTATTATTTTCCCATTCATTTGGAAATTAAATACAAAATTTTATACTAAATTGTAAAACAGCCAAATTCCACAAGGACACTTTTATACCCAATAATATTTTTACTGCTTAAAAAAAACACAAGCTAGATTTTAGATGTAACTACAAAGGAAGAAAGAAAAAAACTGAGCTTAAAAATTTTAGGAAAAAAAAATCAGTAAGACGTTTTAACATACACCTGACCATTTTAAGGCCCTTTAAACTTTTCTGTACAAGCTGGACACTGCTGGCTCTAATCTATACTCCTAGCTATTTGCAAGGCTGAAATCAGAAGGATTGAGTTTTGAGGCCAGCCTGGGCAAATAGTTTGCAATATCCCCATCTCCAAAATAACCAGAGCAAAATGGACTGGAAGTGTGGCTCAAATGGTAAAGTGCCTGCTTTGCAAGTGTAAAAGCCCTGAGTTCAAACACTAATCCCACTGTAAAAAAATTTCTGTACAAAATAATTTTCATCTGTTAAATAAAATAGGAAAGAAATTTCTAGTACTCTCTTCACCAAGGGAAATAACAGATCTTCTTGAGTACTATGACATAAGACACCTATGAAAAATATTAGAAGCAAATACCATTTCATAGTTACATGTTCAAGATAACAGAAGATTAGTATATGAGATAATCCCTCAGTTCACAAAAATAGGAAAGAAATTTCTAGTACTCTCTTCACCAAGGGAAATAACAGATCTTCTTGAGTACTATGACATAAGACACCTATGAAAAATATTAGAAGCAAATACCATTTCATAGTTACATTTTCAAGATAACAGAAGATATAGTATAATGAGATAATCCCTCAGTTCACAAATGCCTTTTGCTTAATCTGAAATTAAATGAAGAAATCCACCCAAACACATAGTGTACCACATATTAGATACAAAATAAGTGGCTGCTATAATTATGAAAGTGGTACGGCTTTTATTCACTTTGAATTTTACTTCATCAGCCTGCTTTGAAGCATATAGGCTCTAGGTGAACATCATGATGCAGAAAAATACTTCACTCCATTAGGGGAAGTACCAGACTTCCCCTAAATCCAGAGTTAGGGATACAAAAATAATATATGTCACAAGAGAATGGAATAAGATAGTAAAAATGACTCAACGACTTTCAACATCACTGCTAAAGCCATATTATATACTAATCCTACTATCAGCAGTCTTTTGATGTATACATGGCTTTTAATGAAATTAAAAAGTATGGCAATGACGGCAGTTATTAAAGAAACTACCGAAAACGTCTATTTTGAGGGAAGATGGCTGTAAAATAAAATTAACCTTTTTGTAAAAACCTATTTTAGAAACTTTAAAAGATTTTTTTTTGTTGAATTCTCATCAAAACGTTTTAGAAACTTTAAAAGATTTTTTTTTGTTGAATTCTCATCAAAACGATCCCTTATGAGTACCTTTCTGAAACTGGGGACAAGTCATACTTATTGTAAGACATGTGTCAAAGAAGAAATAATGCTAACCTTTTTTCTTGAGATGAAGTATGTTCTCTGTGGCACATATAAAGACTGGGATATCAATACCACTTGTACAGAGCACTTAGTACCCAGCAATCTGCAATCTCCCATTAATCCCAGATGCTAGGTTCCATTTTCTAAACCTTCATTAACTATAGACTTAAAAAACAATAATAAAAAAACTCCTCACTTCTCATTTCATAGCCCAAGCTGGCTAGGAATCTCTTTCCAACATTTTAGAAGGCCCACTTCAAAAGTGAAATCACAAGACTTCACACATATCCAGTACATAAACAGGTAAAAGAAATAAATAACATGATAGTATTACACAGAATAGTTGTAAAAGCCATACAACAAATTCAGACTTTACAAATAAACAGACTAAATTCCACAAATTGTTATGACACTCAACACCACTATGCTATCAATTTTGTAGGTTCAATATAGAATAACCACATAGCCCAGCAACTTTACCCTATGCCAAAGAAACTAAAATATATATTCACAAAAATACCCGCATACCAATGTTCAGAACACCATTATTCATAAGTCAAGAAGAGAAAAAACAACCCAAACACTCATGAGTGGATAAAATGTGGTATATCCACACACAATGGAATATTATTTGGCAATAAAGATATGAAATACTGATACATGCTATACCTTAAATAAACCTTGAAAATATTATGCTAAATGATAAAAACCAGCCACAATCAATCCCGTATGTTATGATTACATTTATATGAAATCTCCTGAACAAGCAGAGAGACATACAGAAAAGAGATTAATTAGTTTGCCTAGTGCTGGAGTGTTGACAGGAAATCGGGAATGAATACTAATGGTCACAGAGGTCCATTTGGGGTATGTTTGAATATCAAATGTGAATTACAGCAATATAATGCTGTAAGTATACTAAAAACCAATAAATAATATACTTCAAATGGATGAATTGTATATGAATTATATTTCAATAAAGCTGTTATATGTCAATTTTGTACTTCAAAAGTTGAAAAAAGGGAAGTAAAACTACTCAAGAACAAAGAACAGCATTATTAAATAGTTTCTGAAGCATAACAAAAGTAAAGATTCATTTTTTAAAATATATGCACATAATTATATTTTATTTTATTTATTTTTATTGTTTGGCAGTACTGGGGTTTGAACCCAGGGCCTCACATTTGCTAGGTAGGTGCTGTACCACTTGAGCCACTCCGCCAGCCAAGAACAGCAAAGATTCTTGATGCAAAAAATTTTACTATTATTAAGCAGTAAACATATACACTACATTTAAATTTACACATAAACACACATTAAATTTCAAAGATTTTCTGAAGAACTCATGTGTTAGAGATTTTTATGAGCCGTAAGAAAAGTGTGTACAGAATTAAATATAAGACAGATTTTCATAAAAATCTCTAAGAGCATATACTCTCTCAGATAACTTATTCAATTAATGTCAATAACTAAAAAAAGAGTTCTCCACACAAATAATTATGTTTTTAAGAAGTGCAAGCCAGGTGCCAGAGGCTCATGCCTATTAACCCCAGCTACTCAGGAGGCAGAGATCAGGAGGATTGTGGTTCAAAGCCAGCCCAAGCAAATAGTTTGAGAGATTCTATCTCAAAAAAAAAAAGCTAGTGGAGTGGCTCAAGGTGTAGGCCCTAAGTTCAAGCCCCAGTACCGCAAAAAAAAAAAAAAAAAAAAAAAAAAAAAAGTGCATGCTTTGAATCACCTATTTTCTAATCAAGAATTAATTGTGATGCCTTACAATGCCATAATTATAAAACAATTATAAATCTTGTGATTCCAGCTACTCAGGAGGTAGAGATCAAGAAGCTCCAGCTATAAGAGAGGTATAGATAGGAGGATTACAGTCTAAGGCTGGCCCCAGGCAAAAAGCACTAGATCCTATCCAAAAAATAACTAAAGCAAAAAAGGGCTGGTGACATGGCTCAAGTGGTAGAGTACCTTGCACAGAATGCATGAGAACCTGCATTCAAATTCTGACTGGCATTTCCTTCTACATTAAAATATTTTTTAAGTAAAAGTGGTATCATCCAGCTAAATACTAATCTTCAAGGGCCACAGGTGATTTGAAAAAGATGACATATCTTTTAAACAAATTCTCAAAAATAGGGAAACCACATGAGAGGAAATTTCTAGAGTAAATTTATACATAAAGTAAAAGGTAGTAAGGATCATAACATGGGAATATCAAAGGAAAAATAAAATTAAAAAGAGGAGATGTAAAAAGATTCAAAGTCAACAAAACATAAACATGGCATGGTAAGATGAAACTCTAATTTTCTAAAATTAGTTATTCAAAAGTGTTACTATAAAGAACTTCCAAAATATGTATCCATATCAGTAAGTTTCTGAATAGAAACACTGCAATATACTAAGAAACAAAACTTTCACACATGAAAAGCAATACGGGGATAATAAAGATCCTAACACTATAATATTATTACATTATTTACTTTTAATAAATGTTTCCTACATTATGAAAATACTAGAGAAACAATATATTTTAGAACTAAAACTACTAAAAACAACAAAAGTCCTATAAAGTCATTTACTAACTTCCAAAGAAAACTAAGTCTGATTCTAAGAACAAAAACACTCCAAACATTTACACAAATATTTCTGATACTATATATCTTTTACCTTATTCTTGTTGCAATTTGAAAAGAAATAGCACATAAAAATTAAGATTTATGTTTTCCATAATAAAATAGCAATATAGCTAAGTAGTTTTTTCTAGTTTCAGACACAAGAATTTGTCCTTAAGCAAAGTATAATCCATACACCAAAATAAAAAGAATAAAAGCTGCTATAAGTATTATATATTGACCTTTGCTGTCCTTACTGATGACTAAATAAAGTAATAAAAATTGAGATTACTTACATTGTTGTTGCGGGTTTCTACAGCAGGGAATTTTCTCACTATGAATTTCACAGCAGACTCCAGGTTTTTATCAATAAGGTAAGATGGTTTGGCCTTAGGATCTCCACATGCCTAAAAAACAACAGTAATAAAAAAAAAAGTAAAATGCAACCTCCTTCTAAATTAAAGAATAGCAAATCTGCAATCAGAAATTTGAGAGATATTTATTGTTTTTGGTGAGCAGGTGATAAAATGAATAGGCAAGTGCAGGGATTGTCACAGCTGATATATGCAATGGAAGACAGTACAGAGATGTTCTTCTACTGAAAAAAATGCATGGAAAAGTTTCAAAGCGGTTAGCGCAGAACAGCAGTGAAGGAAAAAGCTCAACCTAAAATATAAAGAAAAAAGAAAAGAAAAGGAAAAGAAACAAATTTTTGGTTTGAGGTAGGACTGTATTCATCTGAATAATAAAATATTACCAAATTAAGTATTAAGTAGAATAGTACTGGACATGTTTCTAAGTGTGATAAAATAAAAGCTTATGTTTAAATGTCTTTTCCAAAATGTTTTCCTTATTCACTTTAAACATTTTAATATAAGAGCCTTAGTTCAAAAGAACTGGAAGCTGTTAAAATTGTCTTTATACTGCTAACGTGTGTTGCCTGTTCCTCTGAACATCTGAGTTACAACACTGTTTTCCATCATACCAGCAGCACTTCAAACATAAATCTGCATCTGTTCTACATCTTGTAAGCACAGAACAAATGGAAATATTTACATCTTGACCACAGCAGCAGTGCAGCATTCTCTGCAGTGAACTATAAAAGCACTATACAAATGTAAGGTATCCTAAAAAGGAATATTTACCTGAAGCAATAAAGATAGCATCTTGAATACTGGTCACTTTTTTATTATGTGACATTTAATTAATAGTGAGATATGTCTTAGGGAATTACTAAAATTAAAACATTCCTGTTTAATTTATTTTTATTTCACTTTTTAAAGGATGAATCCTTTCAAAAGTAATTTCTGTATGCCATGTGTGAGGAAATACAGTATTGTAATTTAATTTTTATTATTTACTGTGGCTATGTTGTGGATTACAGAAAGAGAAGTTATGAAACATGAAACTGATCTGAAAGCGGGCAAGCGGGCAGAGGGAAGGTGAAAAGCTTTGCAAACCTTCCAAACTTGTCCTTGCTGGGGAAGCATTGTAATAAAAAGAGAGAAAATTACGTATAAACAAAGATTGTCAAACTATGACAATATATACTTTTCAGTAGAAAACTTATGCACTGCAGACTATGAATAACAAAACAAAATTAGAACTGTATGGTGCTACAATGCTGAAGGTATTCTAAATAGCGAGTTTTAATATACAATAGATCTATATAGTTTGTACTATTCATAGATATACTGAAATACTACTGTGTAAGTGTACAACCATGTCAGTATCTTGGTGGTCTTTCTAAACCAACTTAAAATAGTACTAGAGAGAGGGAAAAATAAAGACTACATGCAGCTATAAAAAACAGGAGCAAAATCATCAGTGAAATTTTACATACCTGAAACTGTAGCCAAGAATAAAAATAAATTGTTATTGGATGAATTTTGTACTTCAGCTCAAATTGAAACTCTTTTTGAAATGTCACCTAGATTCTTTCCAAGTAATAGTATAAAAATCAGTGCAAACATTCCTTTTTAATAAGTAGAAATAGGAATGAAGTTTAAAAAAACTCTTAATTCTCAAATATAATTAAATGAAACAATCTTTAAAAACTTAGAAACTCGTTAATTTTTAGAGAATGACACAAAGTTACTCTGTATATTCCATCTCAGCATAATATTAACATAATCATATTCTTCCTCAGATTGTGATTTCTTTGAAATACTGTTTCTTGTAAACTATACTTCCAATTTATCTTCTTTCTCCCAAGACATCATATAATAAAATAACTAAGAATAACAACTAAGAATTAGCCTAAAAAGAAACAGCTACAGATTAGCATTTACTTATATAAATGGCATAATAGGAATCAAGTTTAAAAAACATGAGTGAGATAGCACAGAATCCTAAAGTAATTCCAAATTATGTTCCTTTTGCATATGTATTATCTTTCAAATTCTAATTATTTAAAAATTCAGCTATCCATTCTAACAGTATAGTGACCTTCAAATACTGTAGATATGACATACTACAATACCTACATTTCCCATGATCACAAGTTTTACTATGTAAGAACTAAATCAACCAAAGAAATGTGTATATATGTGTGGGTATGCATGTGTATTTATGTGTATAAACAGCTCTTTCTTCTTATACTGAAAACAAAACCAATGGAAAAGTAGATTTATACATAATCTCTTTTGGAATTGATTTACCTTTTTTCACACTGCTCAGTGGGTCTTATTTAAACATATTATACTGGGAGGCAGTATGACAGGAAGGTTAAAAAACGGATTGCGGAAAAAGACTAGCAATGGGACCTTGAATATATAACATCTACTAGTCTCAGTTTCTTCATCTATGAAAGGGGGAGGCAGATTAGAACCTTACCTCATAGAGTCATTATGAGGATTTGAAGAGGGCAGATAATCCATATAAAAGCATTTAGAAAAATGGCACTTAAGCGGCTCAAAAAATAATAGCTTTGTTAACAACAGCTATAATAATGATGATGATAATTACCCAAATCAAAGTCTAATATGAATAATAATCACAGCAAAATCAGTGGTAAATTCCTTATATGACTATGATTCCCTTTTCAATCACATTATTTCTTTCATTTACCCTAAGCCAATATGATATTTGTTTTACTTAAAGAAAGAATGTAGTCTTATAATTAAGAACAAGAGACTTTTATGGCTTGTCTTACATTTGTTTTTGGTACTAAGGACTGAATCCAGGGCCTCACGCATGCTAAGAGCATGCTCTATACTCCCAGCCCCAAGAACATGAGTTTTTTAGATAGGAAGCCCACGTGCAAATCCAGGCTCTATCACTTATTAGACATGTAACCATGAGAAAGTTATTTTACCTCTGCGCCTCAATGTCTTCATCTATTAAACTGAAGATAATAATTGCAACCTATCCGTTAAAGTTTTGTATTCATGATGTGTGTGTGTGTAGAATATGAATGAGTATATGGCATACCATGAGCACTAAAAAATGACATAAAAATATAAGGCTTATAGAATCTATATACAAGTAAGGGCTCCACTTTACTTTTTCTAAAACCAACTTAACTGATTTATTTACTTATCAATAAAAGAGACATTTGTATGAGGAATACTCAAGTTTAAAAAAAAAGAAAAAGTAAAACAAAAAACAGAATGTGATCTGACTAAAAGTTACCCTGATAACAGGTATAACTGTAATTTAGTCAAGAAGGTTTTTGTACTATCCTACAGCAATACAACAAAATTCCAACTATATCAGAAGTCTATTTATAAACATTAATTTCCCCCACCTTAACAAAAAAACTTCATGCATAACAAAGAAATCATAAGATAACAACTTTCGCTTTTTAGGACATCTTAGTACACTTGAAACTATCTTTGCTACCAGAGCTATATCATACAATTGTGACTCAAGGCCAGATCAGGCATATAGTTCACAAGAGAGCATCTCCAAAACAACCAGAGCAAAAGGGACTGGAGTGCATGAGCCCTAAGTTCAAACTCCAGTCCTACAAAAAAAAAAAGAGATGTTCCCCCAAACAACATATCCAGTCACAAAATAAATGTCTTTGACTAGAAACATCAAGACTAGACTTGATAGAATTTTAAAGTATAACTTTAAAATAAGTCTTTCTGCCACACTACCACTCAAACTACTTCTTGGGTGCTTTCCTGAAACTGTTACACATAAAAAATTTTACCTTGTCTTCACATTACGTGGTTAATGCTACATATTTTTCTAAGAACTTACCACGATGTAAAATATATAGACAGATTAAATATTCCTCTATCTTTTCTCAAGAGATTAAGTAACAATGAAGAAATTAGAAAATAACCAAAATATACGAACAGTAGAGAATAAAAACATTTGCTGGGCAATTCTTATGTACAAAAACATCTACTCTTTAAAAATCACCTACACTATCAATAGAGATAGAGCTTTAGAGAAACTAAATGACTTGCTCAAACCATCCACTAACTGGCAAGTCTCAAATACAAATTCAGATTTGATTCCAAAACACTAGTAAGGTTTATCTATAAATATTTGCTCAAAAAATTATATATAAAGATTTTTCATTCTTTCCACACCTTAGCTGCTCAAAACATTTGTGGAGCAATTACAATCATTATAAAAATCTGATCAGTTTGATCAATTTTTTTTAATTCTAGTCCAATACAGCAGCAAAAAGAAAAAAAAAATTCCTCTGAATACTGAAGAACAAAACAATTTCTTTCTTAATTCAATGAATTAATTTAAAGAAATGAACAAAAACCTCAGAGGTCAGAGTAAGAATGCTATTTGTAACCATATGGGAAAGACTTTGCAAGTGCAAAGACTTGAGTTCAAACTCCAGTCCCACCAAAAAAAAGAGCAATATAACTTTCACCCAGTTTTTAAAGAAGGTTTTGTGAAAAATGAAGACATAAAGATCAAGAATCTTCCATGTTTTTAATCAAACTGAAATTAATACCAAGTTGACATCAACTGAGATTATAGACTGTAAAAGCAACATTCTTTGTTTTCTAACTTTTTAAATAACGGCAATTACACAACAGTGTGAAATTGTCAGGAAGGATTTAAAAACCTATCAACAGCAAAACAAACCTTGAATTCTAGTACCAGTGGTTAACTTCCCAAATATTTTTTCCTTGTGTATCACCTACATTTGGCCAACCAATATGCTTTAAAGTAGCACTTCCTGTTGAACTTGGTTAAATTTGAACGAAAAGCAAGCAGTCCACTAAGACAGTTTCTATTAAGAGACTGGTAGGAAGGTATACTGAAATTATTGGAAATGCTTTCAAATTAATGCAATTTTATTTATAACTATACTTCCTAATTAAGACAGAAAAAGGTTTAAAGTTACAAAGATTATGGTTAACTCCATTCACAAGTTCTGGGAGAACTGTAAGAGAGAATATCTTCAATCTATCACATCCTTCAAAAT